GGAAAATAGTCCTATAAAATTCCTACTTTCTTTTTTCCCCTTTAACTCCAATACTTAGCAGTGTGTCTCATGTCCCAAGGCTCTGCTTAGCTTTGCTCCAAATGAATCTAGATCCTTTGAAAGCTAAATATTACCACCACCATCTAATGCTTTCCTATTAAAAAAGCACTAAAACAGTTATATTTCCTCTACAAAGTGATAAAATTTCAAGAAACTTAACATTTATGTTTTACCCTGAAAAAAATTAGCCATATTTTGCATTTCCAAAACACTTTACTAGTCTTAATTAACAACACAGTTAGGAAAGTGACTTTTTATTCTCATCTCTAAGCAAACAAGCTGAGAGTTTAAGTGATTTACCCTTTCTGATAGAAGAGGTCATGAAATGAACGCCAAGATTTGAATTTCTTTGAACACCACTAAGGCAATTTTTTAGGGATTAAACAAACTCCTACCTGGTGATACTAAACTCCCTTTGAAGAAAGCAGCTGTGAGCTCAAATTGTGACCTACAAGGAGCCCCATGGACTTTAAGGGTAAGAAAGATCTATAGGAGGTAGGAAGAGTCCTTTCCCATAAGGTAGCCATATGGAAGGCATGTGGTCAGGTAATACCAATAACTGACATTTATTGAGCATTGAGAATGTGCAGAGATCTTGTACAATCTTCCAGGGCTTTGAGGTGTATTACATAATTGTCTTCATTTTACAAGTTAAAAACTTAAAAGAAAAAGTTCTAGAGAGATGTCATAATTTGTCTAAGATAATTTTTCTAATATAATTCAAGAACCTGAAGCTGGGCCCTGGTGCTCACGCCTGTATTCCTAGCTACTCAGGAGGCTGAGATCTGAGGATCAAGGTTCAAAGCCAGCCCTGGCCGTAAGTCCGTGAAACCACCAGAAAACTGGAAGTGGCGCTGTGGCTCAAGTGGTAGAGCGCTAGCCTTGAGCTGAAGAGCTGAGGGACAGCGCCCAGGCCCAGAGTTCAAGCCGCACGATTGACAAAAAATAAAATAAAATCAAGAACCTGAAATTTTGGGCTTAGCATAGTGGTTCATGTTTATAACTTCAATTAATCTGGAGGCAGAGATAGGAGGATCAAGGTTCAGGACAGGCCCCAGGCAAAACTTACCAGACCTTATCTCAAAAACATGCTAGGGAAGCCAGAGGCGGAGGAGGGGCAGCGCACATCCGCCCTCGGCTCCGCTGCCTCTGCCAGGGCTGGCGCTGTCTTGGCAACTGCCTTGGCGCAGCGCGAGCCTGGGTCCCCCGCACTTCCCGCAGCGGCGGCAGCGGCAGCAGGGAGCGGCGGCCAGCGGTGGCGGGCTCCAGGGAGAGCGGCGGGCGCCCCGGCAGAGGCGGCGCTTCCAGCTCGGCCCCTGGGCTCTGGTGACCCGCCCTCGAGTCCTGCCCCGCGTCGGAGCGGCCGTCGGTCCCGGGACTGACCCGGCCTCGCTGCCTCTTCCCTCCCCGCCCCGCCTCAACCCGCATCCCTCCGGAGCCCCGATTCGCTTGCGCCCAACTCCTCGGCGGGGTGGCGGCGGCCGGGCCCCCACGGCGTCGGTCGGAGCAGTCGCAGCCCCGGAACACGCCTCTATGATGAAGTTCAAGCCCAACCAGATGCGGACCTACGACCGTGAGGGCTTCAAGAAGCGGGCGGCGTGCTGTGCTTCCAGAGCGAGCAGGAGGACGCGGTGCTGCTGGTGAGTAGCAGTCGGTACCCCGACCAGCGGATTGTCCCAGGAGGAGGGATGGAGCCAGAGGAGGAGCCTGGAGGTGCTGCTGTGAGGGAAGTTTATGAGGAGGCTGGAGTCAAAGGAAAATTAGGCAGACTCCTGGGCATATTTGAGCAGAACCAAGACGGAAAGCACAGAACATATGTTTATGTTCTTACAGTCACCGAAATATGAGAAGACTGGGAAGATTCTGTTAATATAGGAAGGAAGAGAGAGTGGTTCAAAGTAGAAGATGTAATCAAAGTTCTACAGTGTCATAGACCCGTACATGCAGAGCATCTGGAAAAACGAAAGCTTGGCTGTTCCCCAACCAATGGAAACTCTACAGTCCCTTCCCTTCTAGGTAATAAGGCCTTGCTTGTGACTGCTGCACAGACTTCTGGGGTGCCACCCGGTATAAGATAGGAAGAATTTGGAGGCCTTCTCTACCACATGTGATCTCATGGGGAGAGGCTCCTTCACTTTCTTTGGAAAACATCTGAATGACGCAAACTGAATTTGCCATGCAGGGATTTCAAACAGTTTTGCATGTATTTCAGATGCTTTCAAGTCTTTTAAAACAGAATAGTGTAAAAATATTTTAAGAACCCAAAGCCATGTGGGACTTTTTTTTTTTTTAAGATGCCTTAACTGTGCCCCACCCGTTATTTTGGTGGCTGTTTTTCACAGAATTTTTTCAGTTTTGTCATTGACATCAGTCTGGTTTGTCAGATCAATTTGCTTATAGGTATATTTTCCCCCTAAATTGTTGCCTCCGCTGCACTGACATAAAGAAACATCCATCCCCAAACTTCATAAGATCACATTCTTAATTCCTAAATTTAAGGCTTGAGATTTTTCTGTATAGTCCAATAACTGAAAAAGGATTTTTGATTTGCTGTTTTCAGGAATTTAGCAGCACCTTTGGCTGGATGTTCACAACTAGTTTATACTAACCTAATAGTCTAGCTATTTCCCCTGAACTACAATAGTAGTGTAACATGAAATGGAACTCTAACGTTTTCGGGAAATATTTTTAAGCAAAATGCATGTAGTAAGTATATCCTATCATGAACACTTACTCATGGAATCCATTTAGCATGGTCAGTTAATTGCCAGTTCTTTATAATTCCTTGTTTATGCAGTGCATATTTCCCTCAATGTAAATTGTTCTTAAAATGAATTTTCAGTTTTCTAGTTTAGTGCCACCTCTTCAGTTAAATTTGCATGTTTACCAATAATCACACCATTGGGAGTCTAACATTCAATGCCAGTCAGTGATGACCGCATCACAGTAAGTGGCCTTCCAGACGTTCAGCTGTTACAGGCTGGAAATCAAGGGTCTCTCTCTTCTAGGTTGTCATTAAGTACTCTCTGTCACAAAACTTTTAGGGGTAGTGGAATATACCCAAATTAAGAATTACTTCATCTTACACTTGTCTTATACTCCCTTAAAATCAGGCGCCCCATGTAAATACCTACATCCCTGAACTGAATCTCATGCTCTTCTCCAATGGGATCAAAAACAAGGGGAAGGAAAAAACCTTTGACTAAGATATGGATGAGGAAGAGTGAAAGGTCATTTTTATGTAGACATTGTTAGCCTTTTGTAAATACTGTAACTGGCAAGTATGAAATAGAAAAGGTATAGCTAAAGCATTTGCCCTGTAAGTTGTGAACCTTTAAATATGATTGCTGCTAAAAATAGTCCTTAAAGGAAAATTGGTGCCATTTTGAAAAGGAGATCTTGTGCCATAAATGCAGCAGAACTAAACATAAACATTAGTTCATCAAATAGTGCTGTCAAATAAATGAATAAAGTAGAAAAACCTAAAAAAAAACAAAACAAAACATGCTAGGTATTGAGCCTGTGAAACCAGGAGAGCTGGAGATAGGATTGTGGTAAATGGTAGCCTAGGAAAAAGCAGAACATATACCAAAAACAAAAAAAAGGAAAAGGATGAGAGTGTGGCTTCCATGGTAGAATGCTAGCAAGCCGAAGGCTCTGATTTCAATTCCTGTTATCAGGGAAAAAAATCTAAAGCTAAACACTCATGTTCTTACCAAGACCTTCTTGGTATAAATCCTCTGACTTTATCTGCAGAAATCATTTACCTTCTGAAACTTGAGCGTCCACATTCACTCTGCTTCAGTTACAGAATGGCACTCTTAAACAGTTTTGTTAAAATTCCAAAGCATGAGAGAGTCAGTCTTACCGGCTTAATATTTTCATTACTAAAGCAAGAAGTGATTCATACCTGTAATCCTAGCTACTTGTGAAACTGAGATGGACAGGAATCAGGTTCAAGGCCAGCCTGGGCACACTTGACACTCAAGAGCCTCCCCTACCCCCAACCCACCTTTCTCAAACAATAGTTGAATGTGATGGCACACACACACAGATTGACCTCCATGAGAGGCTGAGAGCAGGAGGATCTCAGTTCTGGAACAGTTTACAGTAGGTAGAAAAATTCTCATCTTGTGGTGGTGCACACAGCTATGAGGGAAAGGTTAACACACTCACATGGAGGTTTAAGTATACACAGCAGGAAGTGGGATCTTCCCTCTGAAGTAATCAGGCACGAAAGGGCTAAAACTATGTCTTTCTGGAAGAGTGCGTATCTAAGAATCACAAGAAACTGAGGTGAAAACTCAGTACCATTAACAAAAAGGGGGGAAAAAAAGAAAAGCATGCTACATCATGGTTTCTATTTCTCAGTTGCAAACTGTATATTTAAAATAGAAACTGAGAGTTGGTGGCTCACACCTGAAATCCTAGCTTTTTAGGAGGCTGAGATCTGAAGATTGTGGTTCAAAGCCAGCTCAGGCAGGAAAGTCCCTGAGACTCTTATCTCCAATAAACCATTCAGAAAAGCCTGGAAGTGGTGCTGTTGCTAAAGTGGTAGAGCACTAGCCTTGAACAAAAGAATCTCAGGGACAACCCAAAGGCTCAGAGTTCAAGGCCCAGGACCGGCACAAAAAAACTCTCCAAAATAAAAAACCACACCAAAGCAGAAAAAGTCCCCCACTCAAGAAAGAAAGAAAGAGGAGAGGGAGGGAGGGAGGGAAGGAAGGAAGGAAGAAAGGAAGGAGGGAAGAAGAAAGAAAGAGAGGAAAACATTGGTGGGAAAAAGGGGAGATGACTAAACCAATTAAGAAATGGCTCTTATTTTAATTGTTTTTCAGTACTGAGGAATTGAACCCCAGGTCACTCACAAATTAGTAAACCCTCTACCAGTGAACAGCATCCTTAGTCTGATAGCTCTTATTTGAATCATCAAGTTAGCAAGCTAGGTTCTGATATAGATAAAGGTCTATATGTTTAGTTCTATAACCATTTCTTTATATATCACATTTTTCCCCCCTCAAAGTAAGGGGCCAGGCAAAACATTATCCAGGATTGTTGTGAACTTGATTACATACTCACTTTACTTAAGTACAAACCCTCCCTCTTTTTTTTTTTTTTTTTTTTGCCAGTCCTGGGGCTTGAACTCAGGGTCTGGGCATTGTCCCTGAGCTTCTTTTGCTCAAGGCTAGCACTCTACCACTTGAGCACAGCGCCACTTCCAGCTTTTTTGGTTTATGTGGTACTGAGGAATGGAATCTAGGGCTTCATGCCTGCTAGGCAAACACTCTACCACTAAGCCACATTCCCAGCCTACACCATTTTTTTAAAAACTCTATTTTCTAGGGATTTTTGTTTTTGAGCTTTACCCAAATTACTAACATCATTTTATTTATTTATTTATTTATTGTTTTTGGTTTTTGACCGGTCATGGAGTCTGAACTCTGGGCCTGGGCACTGTCCCTCAGTACTTTCAGCTCAAGGCTAGTGCTCTATCACTTGAGCCACAGTGTCACTTCTGGCTGTTTTTCTGTTTATGTGGTGCTGAGGAATTGAACCCAGGACCTCATGCATGCAAGGCAAGCACTCTACCATTGAGCTACCTTCCCAGCCCCTAACATCATTTTAAAATAAAAGAATCTAACAGTATTTAAGCTTATCAGGACCTCTAAAAGGGTAACAGAGTTTTTGTCCACCCTTGTACTATTTTACATGAACACATTGATCTATGTGATATTCATGCATGAATTTCCCATCTTTCAATCCTTCACTAAAGTATTGTCTTACCACTGTGGTGTTTATGCTTACATTACTGTGAAATCATTAGCTTTTTTTGTTGTTGTTTGTTTGTTAGATTTTAAGTTTAGATTTGGCAAAATCTTTGACAAACTTTGGTGAAAGGAGGTACATATATATATATATATATATATATATATATATATATATGCACACACATATATTCCTCATAGTGTTTTGAAAAAAAATTGAAATAGTTGCTAACATTGCAACTTGTTAATTTTGCCTACTTCCATCTTCCCTTGAAAAAAGCGAGCAAAGGGGACATACTGAGCGGACATAGTCCTGCAGATCATCTAAATGGTAAATGTGTTCTATAGACAGGAAACCACTCAGTGCTTTACCTCAGTCACCACGGTCACACATCCTCACACAAAACCACACCCTTCCATTGCAGTCAGTTGCTGACTGCCTACCTCCTTCCTCCTGCCTACCCCAAAGCTCTGCTAGGCTCAGAGCTGCTATTCCTAACACCTATTACAAGGCTCATAGTTTAAGACTTATGTTTTAAGAATGTGGAGGGATTGGATCAAATCTCATTTAGCTTGCAAATCTGAGGCTCAAATATATACCTTGTGGAGGTCTTCAAATGACCTCAAATTATGTAGCACTTTAACTGACAGACTTCTTTGTCAGTCATCGCTCAAGATAGACTATGGTAGCAGACAGTATCTGTGATTCCTGAGAACTTTCTATAAAAGATCCTAATAGTTTCACCTTGTTGTGGTAGGTGGAGAAAGCCAGCCTCCATACCCTGAGGATGCCCAAGTGGGTCCTTTGGAGAGATTCACGTGTTAGTCACATGTCATTCAAGAGTCAAGCAGTCCAGGCCTCCCCAACACTGCCTGCAAAGAACAAGAATGATATGCCTGGGCTGGGAAGGTGGCTTATTGGTAGAGTACTTGCCTTGCATGCATGAGGCCCTGGGTTTGATTACTCAGCACCACATAAGCAGAAAAAAAAAGCCGGAAGTGGCGCTATGGTTCAAGTGGCAGAGCGCTAGCCTTGAGCTGAAGAGCTGAGGGACAGGTCCCAGGCCCAGATTTCAGGCCCATGACCGGAACCAACAACAACAACAAAAAAGTGATATGCCTTGGGAACCACTCTGCTAACCTCTTCCAATGACGCTGACCCTGACACACTTCCTTGCAGCCTCATAAAAAGGAAGGCTTCCCCAGCCTCATCATCTAGGAATTCCTGATCAGAGAGACCTGAGATCATCCTTGCGTATCACCTGAAGTTGTGGGGAGTTTTCTTTCTTTCTTTGTTTCTTCCTTCCTTCCTTTCCAAAGTAATAGATAACCAGTATCAGTCACATTCACATGAGGAAATTCAGTTTGCCTCAGAGTTCTTTCTGATGGATATGATACCTTCCACTAGTTAGGGGAGAAAGGGCTCCGGCTCCTCTCCCTGGTAGCATTGCTAATGGAAACAATGAAAGGAGAGTCTCAGATTTTATTGAGTCACTCGAACAAGTATAGAAACCAAATAATCACACATGCAATTGTTTTCTGTCATGTTAGATGCTCTGAGGACATTGTGTATGAAACAGTTTATTCCAAGCAGAACTGGATAAGCTGTTGTGAACAGGTGAAAGGCAAATCAAGGTGAAAATACATTAAACCGGAGACAGCTTAAAATGGAAATGACTTCTAAGCTTTGTGATGTGATATGGTGTGTGTGTGTGCGCATGTGTGTGTGTGCGCGCATGTGTGTTGTTAAGACTGAGACTGATGCTTGCTGTCTGATGTTTGCTTTTGGGCTTTGG